GCTGGGCTACCGCCGCCTTCCAGCCCCCGAGGCGACGCCAGCTCCGCCCCGACCCCGCCACGGTGCGGCCACGGGGCTGGAGAGGGCGGGGAAAAGGGACTCCCCCACCCCCGCCCCAATACACTGGCGCGCGGACTCCCGCCTCTCCGGGAAGTCCTTATCTGGCTCGGCTTGTCCTGCGAAAGCACTAGCTGAGCAGCTCTGCCGTCTCCTCCGGCGAATACCGAGGAAAGGACTTCGGAACCCTAGACTGGAAAATGGGGATAAGCTCAGCTTCCGTCTGAGTAGAAACAAAAACGATGTATTTACATGATGGTTTCCCCGCCCTCCTCCAGGCATCTGCATCTCCCTTGTCTGTGAACTGGTTAAGGGATCTGGGCTATCCCTTCCATGTCACTTCCATGTCCTGGGTCCCTGGCATGGTGCTGGCACTCAAAACCCAGCTGAAAAAATGAATGCCTTGGTAGTCATGCGCTGTCTCTCGCCCTGGAAGGACTAGCCCCAGTGCTCCAATCTCAGACTTCACCTTTTCCATCAAGGCCAGGGACCTTGCTCAGGTCTGGCTAACTCTCTTCACTTGGGACCCAGTCACCCCATTGCCCACCCCAGTCCTTGTCCCAGTTGTTCACACTGTGAAATAGCTTCCTCCCCTCCTTCCAACCAGAGCCAAACCCTTCCATAGCTGACCCATCTCTCTACTTTTCCTCTTTTCTTTTAAAGTTTATTTCTTCCTTGAGCAAGAAAGACAGAGTGAGGTCCTCCAGCAGGGTCTTGACACAGTGGTCTACACCACACCCTCAGGCTCATGGATATGTGCGTGTCCCTCTGTCTGGCAGAGTGTGGCATTTTACTTCTGTGCCACTGTCCGGCCCCCTCACTCTCCCTACTTCTTTACCTGGGTCCCTCTCTTGAGATCAGACAGTTGTTCCCACACCAGACCTATGGCCCACCAGACCTATGGCCCACAGGCCAGGGACCAGCGACTGGCTCTGCTGGGATGGGAGGGAAGGTCAATCAGAGGCTTCCTAGACTAGGTGGACCAAGGAAGACAGCTGGGCCACACAAGTCACCCTGGAGGGTGCTGGAGCTGAGCACTTGTGGGTAGGGGGTAGCTGGAGGCCAGAGAGGGCGTTTACCATGGCTTGGATGTCTCTCTATGCTCCTCTTGTGTCTAGACCTTCTGCTAGCTCTATGACATGAAAACACCGAATCCTTAAGAATCTCAGCTCATAGAATTGAGTATCCATTTTTTTTGCACCATACTAAGGTTCTCTCTTTTTTCCAGGTTTTTGCCATAGGGTATGTGCACTTGGGAGAGAGACACCTAGGGGAGAAGTGAAAAATTACCCCCGGGGGGCTTGGTCATGCTGTAATCCCTTCTCCTCTATTCTCCGCTTGGGATGTTGGGCAGGCGTGTGCACATTCCTGGTGTGATTTTTCAAGTCACAGGGTCCAGGACTTGAACTGTGATCAGCCACATGGGAATCCAGTGCCTTAACCACCATTCCACCTGTTGGCCCTTAAAGTTTGCTGTATTTTTCTGTCTGAGTCATAATCTGCACAGAATCTCCTATTAAACAAACATTTGCATGTGGAGAGAATTCAGATCAACTCCTTCATTTCAGTTGCTCTCTCAGTTAACACCTTCTGTTGAGCGTGACTGTGTGCGCTGGGAGCAGGGGCCTGGATGATGAGACTGACCCAGTCGCTGATCTCTGGTACTGACAGGTTACCTTGCCCAAGGTTGGAGGACAGGTCAGAGCTCAGTCACCCAGAAGGGAGAATGTGGCTATGGACTGATGGCCGAGCACTTTGTGAGCGTGGCAGTATCTGCAGGAAGTGTGTAGAACACCCAAACTGGTTTGCTTGTTTTTTTTTTTTTTCAAACATTAGCTTTTAAAAAGAAATTCAGTTTTCCTTCTGTATTCATTATAGAATGTGTATGTGCCCATGTGTGTGAGAAGGAGAAAGAAAAGTGTCCTCCACAGGGTCTGGGCATGCCTCAATACCCTTCCTCCAGTCCTAGTACCTGAGCCCGGCATGCTTCAGGTTGACTGGGCCGGGCATTTGAACCATGGTGTCATGGGTTCCTGCTTATCTTGACTAGTGCATTAGTACTGTTCCACAGAGCTGATCCAGGTTCATTTTCTAATACTTATTTCATAAGAGAGAGATGTGAAAGGCACCCTTGACATGATCTTGTCACACCACAATCCCCTTCTCCTAGCCCTCCAGTTAGTCTTGACCTTGGATATGCATCTTGCATGCTTTGGGTCAACATAAGACCTGATCTTGTGGTTGACTCCATGCCTCTTAGCACTGCAGATCAGTAAGCTACCACCACTGGGGCTGGGCCCAAATGGGGCATTTTTGGTGAGTTTAATGAAGGCATACTTGCAGGCGTAGTCTGGGTGTGGGGAAATCACACAGATAGCATATCACCAAAGGGCTAGCAAGAGCAGCAGGTGGCCATACCCCCTAGGCTGAAGGAGTGCTGAGAGGGAGTGGAAGAAGAGGTATGAGATGCAGACAGAGACTGTGGCCTGACGTCCAGGGGCATTCCCAGCTCACAGCTACCACACAGGGAAGGACTGGGGATAAGCAGGAGGCCTCACTCTCCTCCCTCCCTCCAGTCTCTACCAGGTGTCCCCAGTGGCTGAAACCTACCAGAAAGCAAGACAAAGAACCTGAGGCTGCAGCCTACAGAGGTTGGCCTCCTGGGGCAGAGAGCTGGGTGGAGGGTCACCTGGGGGCCGGGGCTGACTTCAGAGCAAATGACTTAGAAATTGCTGTGCTGTCCTTATCACTTAGTTCTAAATATTCCAGACATTTCATTGTAATTTTCTAACTCTTGGATGGGTTAGAAGTGTGCCTTTTAGTTCCCCAGCCTATGGGAGGTTTGTGTTTTTCTGGCCGACTTCTAATTATATTGCACCGTGGCCAGAGAGCATGGTCTGTAGGGTTCTCTGGAATTTGATGCAATTTCCTCTGTGGCTGTGTACGTGGTTATTTTCTGTACCCCTGAGCTGAGTATTATAGGATGAGCAGGACAAGAAAGACAGAGTGAGGTCCTCCAGCAGGGTCTTGACACAGTGGTCTACACCACACCCTCAGGCTCATGGATATGTGCGTGTCCCTCTGTCTGGCAGAGCGTGGCATTTTACTTCTGTGTCTCTCTCCCAAGTGTACATACCCTGTGGCAAAGACCTGGAAAAAAGAGAGAGAACTTTAGTATGGTGCA